ATCTCCGGGGCTTCAGCTACTCTTCCAAACCTCGATTGCTCAAGATTGGAGAAAAAATCTGCAGTCAATTGATCGAGTGAATCTGGAGGTCAGGAGTGGGCCATCGCTGGCCTGACTCGTCAGAGCTGAGCGCGGTGTGAATGAATCCCGATCACCTTCTTCACACAAGGAGGCTCGGGGGCCTTGGGATTTCAGCTCACCTGTGCTCCGAGTTTCTTCACGCAATCGATATCCTGGGCCTTTTCGGCTGTGTTGTTTTTTCAGCTCTTGAACGATTTAACAAGTTAAGAAGATGGACCTAAAGTCACCACTGCTATCATCAGAGCTTAAGGGTAGTTTCAGTTTTTAAATGTGCAAAGTAATTAGTACGTCATGAAACATTTAATACAGCATCAGATACTGTATTTTTGTAAATACTATTTCCACAATTTCTGAGATTAGACTTGTTCAGCCAGACAAATATTGCATTACCTTTGGCAGATATCTCACAAAGGTGGTTTTAGAAAAACTAATGTGATTTATGCACTTGTACTGCATATAATGTATTATATTTCTACATTTATTATCATTGATTTAGTTTAGTTAAATCAGAGATTATAACCACTAATTTGTCTTTTTTCATTTCTTTTACAAAAATAGTAAATGTTTTTAAAGCAGGAAAGGTTATGTGTTTTTATGTGTTTATTAAGGGTTCAATGGTCTTGAATAACAATGCACTGGATATGGAAATATATTTTTTCATTAAGCCTGTTGTGTGCATGGGCAGACGTGTAGGACTCCCTTTACAACTGTAATTTACAGTATATCACAGTAGCACCCTTAGCCAAGGAAATGCTAGGAAAACACCTAGTAAATCCATTCACATTAGACTTTCAAGTCACTTTGCTCTGTCAGTGTCTTCTTATAATATAGATATTTATATTTTTTATGTATTTAAAGCCATGTTATATATTTTCTAATACCCAGCTAATTTTACAACTAAAATTGAACAATCAATCATCCATTTTCACTCTTAGAGGTGTGTTGGTCTAGGTAAACTCGAGAGTGCAGGAACAGTATACCCCAAGCAAGGTGCCAGTCAATTGCATGGCGCATGCACACAGTGGCAGGTGTACAGAGGGCAGTTCTGCCAGGTGACATGGACATGCATGTCTTAGGCCTGTGGGAGGAACTGGAGAACCTGGAGAACACACACAGGGACATGAGGGAGGGTATACAGCCTACGTACAAAAGCCACCCCAGAGCAGGTGCAGTAGTGGCGAGGGCAGCAGTTCCAAACATCCGTCAATCAGTTTGTTGGCATCTTGGCCTTAAGTGTATGATCAAGTTTTATCCATTTTTTTTCAACTGAAAAGATTCACATACAGTTTTACTTGGAATGAAAGCATAATGTAACTTCTAATTAAACATATTGTATTGTTCTGTAGGGGCATACAGTGTGTTTTATAACCCTATGATGTACGGAATAATCCTGATACATTTCAAATGAATTTATTTTTAAAAAACCCAGTGTGGATTCAGCCTTAGCACATCTGAGTTTTGTACTTGACCCTTGAGACAAAAATATCACCACAGCAAAACGCGAGGGAAAACATGGTTTAGTTATGGTGGGAAAAAAACAACCACAAATTGAAAACGAAAATCTCTTGCTCTCCAGATTTAAAAGTTATTGCTACTTAAATGAAGCAAGAATGTGTCGTAACCTTAATATTGAAATGTTAAAATTATGTTCAAATGCAGGACAGGGTGGTTTTGCTACCTGAGGGATACTGCAGAATTCTTTAGGGTCACTTCCTGTGTTTGATTGTTCACCTTTCCCGACTATTAAGGAAATCAGAAATTTGAAATCTGTTTCTGTTCTGTGAAATTTACTGTAGTGTGAGGTACACCGACAATGACTGCAATGTGGCCTGTCACTGCACAACTATGTTCATGTTGTCTGTCTGTGAACCCTGGCCACATTGTCCTCTG